CTTCCACAGATATCTAGTTCTGAGCCCTGAGGGGGTACTGAGGCTGGTACTCAAGGCCCCCAATACCACTTCCCATGGCTCACATAGTCTGTATCTGTGTTGATTCAACATTAAGTCTGCTGTTGATTTACTGCTGTTTTCTGTTCAGTGATGTGGATTCTGGTTTGGTTGTCAGAGAAATATCAGCTTTCCATTTAAAATGTAAATATTTGCTTCCAATATTTGGTCAACTTTGTCATCTCTGGGTCCATTGTTTGAGGACTATGCCTCCAGTAAGAAGACTTTAAGGAAAACTAAAGATGAATAAATTGTAACTGCTGTGGTCATGGTTACTAGAGAAACTAAGTATGGGTTCTCTGTGAGCACTACAGCAGAATAACCACCCATGTGAGGCAAGAAGATAGAGTTCAGCACCTCTCAGTAGCCGGTGTGCATTCAGACATCTGGACTGCAGAACCAGGAAGATTGTTTGAGACATATTTAAATACAACACAATTGTGGAAGAGCATTTCCTGGTGACAATGAACTCAATCCTATGTGTGCAATAAAGCTTAAGGCATCACTACATTGAATTGTAAAGTACCTGTGACTTCTGTGAAGATGGGTTCTATATTGAATGCATGTGACATATTAAGGGTGTGGGGGATGGTTTGGTGTCATCATGGTCTTACAGATAGCATAGAGGGTCCCTAAGTTATTAACCACCTCTTCTCCCCTTTGTAAAGTTCATGTGACATCTCCCATAAGGATGAGCCCCTTTGACTGAGAATCAGTGCTCAAGATGAGGGTCTCATGAGGAAGAGTTTGGGGAATCAGGTGTGGCCTGGCCATAAAGACTCAGAGGTCACCAGGTTATTGGTCACATCCATTTCCAGACTTTTGGCAGAAAATAGGTTTGACTTCCATGTTTAACATTCCGGGTTCCTTTAGTGCTTATCTGTGAGAAGAAATCTTTGTGTCCCCAACAGCCGTGTGTTACTATATACAAATCAATAAAATCCAATGAGGTTTTTCTTATTTTGTTTTGTTTTGCAGTTGGGGTGGGGGTGGGGGGATAACAAAGTGTCTTACCTAGCCAGAGTAGTCTTTATCTTCTGCCTTCTACCTCCCAGTGGGGATTATAGGTGTGGTACCTCTGGGTCCTACCATAGGCTTTTTGTTCTTTAATGAGTTCTATCACCACAACCCTATTACCACATAGCATGTCACATAAGATCTCACTTTTCACATAAATTTTATGATCCCTTCATTAAGTCGACAATCAGGAATGAAGAATGAGGCCAGTCCTTGAAATAGTTCCTAATAGCTTTTGTGCACAACTATTTCATTTTGAAGGCAACAAACATATTCTATATGTTTTTCCTAAAGATCATCTTCAGAACCTTGGCAGTCATTAAAGTGCTTGCCACATAAGTGTAAGCACATGAATTCCATCCTTCAGAAGGGACATAAGAAATTTGCACCTGGTGACATGAGCTTGTAAATGCAGTTCCAGGAGGGTAGAGACTGGCAGATCCTTGGGACAAGTTGGTCAGTTGTTTAGCTTAATCTGTGAGCTCCGGGTTCAGTAAGAGAACTTGTCTTAAAAAACAAAATACAGTAATGAAGGAAGTGAATGTCTCTACCCTTACCTACCGAAGACAATGAGGCCTTTCTTCTGAGGAAGTATTGAACATGGTTCCAGGATGTGCCACCTGTGCTAGGTACTTTAAGATTTCATTTTCTTTTTCTTTTTTTCCTTTTTTCTCCCCTAATTACAAAAAAAATGGCAGGACCTGGCTGGTCCATCCTAGTGGCCATTCAAAGCAGGGCCTTGCAGTCTAACTGCTGACTCTTATCCTTTGAAATTTCAAAATGGAAAAAAAAAAAACAAGAAATCAATGTTACACCCAGGTTAAATCATCCCTTCCCCTCTTTGAAAGGGTATTAAGAGCTGGTTAGAGATCCAGAGTTCTTACTTTTTTAAAAGAAATGCATTATTTTATACTTTCTTTTCTCTTTTGCCACAAGCTTTGCAGAGAAGTGAAACACAAGGAGCCCAAAAAGTCCTTGAGTGGATGAAATAACTGGTCTATATCAACTCCTGAGGGAGCCTCAAAATAAAATTAACCAACAACACCCTACACCCTCAAAACTCTAGGACTCTGGCTGAATGGGGAATTTGGAGTGAGTTAGGTAGCAATGCAGTAAGGTGGGAGGACAATAGCTAGAAATATTCAAGGAGCTCCTTCCTGCCTTATTTTCTATCTTCCTGCCTCCCTCTGTTGAAATATGAGCAGCGGGGCTGCGTCCCCAGCACCCCGGCCGCCCGCACGGCTAGCTTATACCCCGAAATAATTACACGGAAACTGTATTCTTTTAAACACCGCTTGGCCCATTATATCTAGCCTTTTCTTGGCTAACTCTCACACCTGGACTAGCCCATTTCTAATAATCTGTGTAGCCCACGAGCTGGCTTACCAGGAATGATCTTAACCTGTGTCTGCCTGGAGTAGGAGAATAATGGCGACTCCTTGACTCAGCTTCTTTCTCCCAGCATTCTGTTCTGTTTACTCCACCCACGTATGTTTTAACCTATGAGGGCCAAGCAGTTTTTTATTGCTTAACCAATGAAATCAACAGATAGAAAGATGACCCTCCTCCATCATCCCTCTTCTTCCTTCCTCCTTTCTTTCTTAAATATTTATATGCATGTGTGCATGGTAATAGAACCTCTGAGACTAGTGTTATAGGCAGTTAGGAGCTACCCAGTTTGGGTTCTGGGAACAGAACTCAGGCATATTCTTCTAACTGCTCAATCATCATCTTTCCAGTTAAGCAAGTCTTAGTTCTGAAAAAGAAATTTGTATTTAGAAGTTGAAAAATTCCTAATAAATAATAAAGAAGCACTCACTACTGCATTTGCATATATTAAATAAAGAATAGGCAGCTTTCTTCCAAATCTGTAAGCAGGACAGAAAGTATAACCCAAGGAAGCAGAGAGAACTGGCTCCTGTGACCACATGACATCTCACATATGATGTGGCATGGGTGTGCCCCCCTTCACTAGTTAGTCAACTAACTTTTAATGGCCAAAAGGTAACTCGCCCATATTTCAAATGGGTGTATATGCCTAGTGAATATAATTATTTATTGCACACTAAAACATGCTTTCCAGGGAAGAAAGGTAGCTCTTCCCATCACTGCTTTCCTAGGGCTCCTGAGAGTCAGTGCAGACAGACTGCAGTTACTTCTGAAATGGTTATAGTGGTAGTAAAGGCCCTTTAAGGGAAAATTCCTGGTCAAGAATAGAACCTCTGACATACCTGGAGACCTACAGTTCCAGCAATTACAATGTCACACAAAGCCCTCTGTCTTCCTTCATGCCTAAAATAAAACAAAAGACAGTAAAATTTCGGAGTATTTCCAGTATCACAGGAAAATTGGCTGGAAAGTATTGAGACTTTTTGCATTTGCTGTCCTTCCTGGATCGATTTCCCTAAGGTCAATGTACTACAGTGAGAAGCACACATGCCCAGGACAGGAATAAATATTGACTCTGTTATGACTCTGAGTCAGTCTGCTCTTGGCAGTGTGCCTTCTTTGGGTCTGGAAGAATAGACATGTACTTTTTTTTTACCCTTACGTTGCTACAAACTGTAGCCTCACTGCCTGACAATACCTGGGCTTCTAGGGATATCTCTCTTCAATCCAGACCAGGAGTCTGGATCTACTTATGCCTCTCCTAGGCTACCTGACTCCCAGAACTGCTCCAGGCTTGGGATAAGAGGAGGACTAGAGGTCTTTATCATTGGGTTAAAGTTCACTCTGTCCTCATTGCTGTGCCAGGCTTCACTGTGTCCTTATGGCTGGGACAGGCTATACACTCTGCTCCAGGAAAAGGTCTATAATCTCTTGCTCAGAATTCTGGGATTGGATGGAGAAGCCTCCAGCTATGGGAGGGTTGAAAGTCCTTGGGGTTTAGTAAGGTCTCTTGTGTTAACAGTTTCACTTCAAGTCAGAGCTCTAAAAAGAAAGTAAACACAAAGATAATCAGTTAATGAGAAATCAATCTTCAGATGGCGCCGCCACGGCTGCCATGTATTCTCATCCTGTTCCAGCAGGATTTTATGATCAGGAGTTCTGAGATCAGAGTCACACACTATTGTACCCATCACCCAAATATTTTATTCTACTATTTAAGTAAATTTTCTGAGATGTTTACAATTTTCTTTGGCATATGTTCCTAAATTATAAAAACAACACTAAGTTTGTTTTTATTGAGGTTGATGATATTTCATTGCTACAATTCTGAAGCACCTGCATTCTAAATTCAAACTCCTCAAGGAGCAATCTGATGCCCTCTGCTGACCTCTGCAGGCACCTGCACTCACAGGAACAGACCCATAGACTGGTATAACCTCTTAAATACATAGGATTCAATATAATACAAATAAATCTTAGACTCCAATTCTGCTTCATAAACTGTCTAGTTCTGAAGTTCTTTTTGGCATCAAAGCTGTGCACCTTGGTTTGTCCTGAGTCCATAGTCCCTGGAAATCTAGAGCAGTGATTCTCAACCTGTGGGTGGTGACCTCTTTTGGGGAAGTTGAATGATCATTTCACAAGGGTCATCATATCAGGTATCCTGTGTATTAATATTGACATTCTCATGTATAACAATAGTAAATTACAGTAGCGATGAAGTAATTTTAATGGTCTGGGGTAACAGAGCATGTGGAACTGTATTAAAAGCATTAAGCAAGCTGAGAACCACTGATCTACAGGCATTGTTTGGACTGGTGAGGGTGGCAGTAGGATATGTCTTTCTGTTTCCACACCACTAATCAAACATTTCCATGTTGGAACCTGGTATAAGAGACAATTTGAATCAGTTCTCAAAACTCAGAGTTGTAGCAACATGAGGATCACCTCTCACATTGTCTTTTGTGTGAGAAAAGGGCTGGCAATTGCAAAGGAGGAGTGTGCTGATTGCACAGTGTGGTGATTGCGTAGGCAGAGTGGAGACAGAACCGCCCATGAAACTAAAAGGTCATTGCTTCCCTCTCGACGATTTTAGCTCAATGATTTTAGTTTCTATCCAAGATGAGTGCTGCAGAACCTGCAGAGGCTTCTCTTGGCATGCTCAGTACCACAGACCACCTGGAGGAAAAAGAGATTGGTATGTATTTAATGCATATTCAAAAGGAACTACAGGAGCAGAGAGCTGCTTGCCAGGGACAAGCACAGACAGGGAGGACAGGGGAGCTGAACCTCATGCCTGTGAGCCTGTAACAGTGGATCTCTTTAGAACAAAGACAGCAGACAGGACTTTAGTTAGCTAAGAGGTTGTTACATTAGTTATTCTATTATAGCATATAATACTTAAATAGTTCTCACACAGAGAAATGAACAGTGAATTGTCATACAAAAGTCAGAGCATTCTGGTGATTCTCACCAAGTCCCTGTAGAACAGGCTTGCTCTTCAAGTTCCACTGAAAAAGCAAATCAAACAGCTTGGTAGCGTGCACTGACGGAAGTTGCCTGGGAAGCTGGGGCTTTTGCTTTACAGAGTCACTGTAATGGAAAAACAATATAAGGAGGAGTCCGGAGGCTTGGGGTCCAGACTAAACTCATCCAGGACCAAATCATCTACATTTTGAGCTAATAGTAAAATATGGAAAAGAATATAATGTGTTTTCTACTTCAGTCTTCAGGAAGGAGGCAAAATTGTGTTTCCTGCCTTTTGAAAATGTCTTTGCTTCAATATATTTCACTGTTTTATTTTGCTTTTTTCTTCTTCCCTGTCCATTCACTTTATTTATTTTTTTTATTTTGGAAACTATACTGGATTTTGGGAAAACACTACTGCTATTTACCAAATACAAAATTTACAACAAAATATTCCCCTTTATCACTTAAACAAAGTACCTTCCTAACTAAATCATTTATTTTTATTTTTATCATCCTTTTATTATTATTGTTGTCGTTGTTGTTATTGTTGCTGTTGTTAGATATTTCTCTTAAGCCAAACCTCTCCACCGATACCAATAATTACAGTCAGACCAAATTAAACCCAATTAAAGGATGCTCATGTTTAATGCAATGCTCCAGGACAGCATGAAGAGGGGAAGAGAAGAAAGGGGAGATCATGCAAAACCCAGAGACCACATGCTTATTCTCTGGGGGGCAGTTTAAATAGCCTGCGGGAGTGGTCTTGACCTTCCCAGGGGAGGGGTTACCTTTTGGTGGGCTTTTTGACCCTCTTATGCCAGGAGCTGGGGTGAAGCTCCCAGCCAAACAATCTGGACTTTTGTATAAAAGGGTGTTAAGGAGCTGGGGTGGTACTTTCAACCAATCATTGCAGGCTTTTTGGATAAAGGGGTGCCAACGAGCTGAGGTGAAGCCCTTCAAACAAAGTTTTAAACTCCTTAGATAAATGGGCACTGGCTCCAGTCTGGCTGCTTCCTGTGGGCATGGGGCAACGTGGGAGAGGGGAGAGCTGGGAGTTGGTGGGATAACACTAAGTGAGAGGTGTGGCTGGAGAGACATCTGGTTTACTGTCATCTTGGAGACCTCAAGCACCTGTTTCTTGAGGGAGATATGAAGGCAGGTGGCTAGGAGAAAAAAATTATTGTAACTATTGGCACTATGAATGGGACTAGCCATGGAGAAAAAATATATTGTTATTATTGGCCCTATGAATGGGGCTAGCCATGGGAAGAGTCATTAACTGCCAGAAAGAATGGGACAGAGAAGTGTCCTGGGTATCCAGGTGAGGCTCAGGTGTATAAATGGATACAATAGCAGATAAAAACAGATTTTAGTTGATAGGTATCCTTGATCCAGGAGAGTTGGTACAAATGGTGAAGTTCCAGGAGCTGGTGAAGTTTCAGGAGCCAGTGAAAGTTTTGGCATTGTCTGGAGAGTGTTTTGCTAGTTGGTCTTGGCCAGACAGCAGGAGTGAATGATGGAGGAAGGTCATTGGCTAATAAAGGAACTGCCTTTGCACATTTTATTGGTTAGAACATAGGTAGGTGGAGTAAACAGAACGGAGAGCTGGGAGGAAGAGGAAGTGAGCTCAGACTCCACAGCTCTCCTCTCAGGAGCAGACGCCTCAGAGAGATTCCATGCCTCGCTCCCGGGCAGATGCACGCGATGAAGTTCCGACCCAGGATGGACATAGGCTAGAATCTTCCCGGTAAGACCTGTGCTACACAGATGATAGGAAATGGGCTAGTCCAGGTGCGAGAGTTAGCCTAGAAGAGGCTAGATAGAAATGGGCCAAGCAATGATTAAAAGAATACAGTGTCCATGTAATTATTTCGGGGCATAAGCTAGCCGTGCAGGCAGCTGGGGTGTTGGGGACGCAGCCCCGCCGCTCTTATCACTACAGAGTGACCTGTAAAATATGCTAAAAACAAAATCAGCAATGTTTCATTTCTTTATGTTTTGAGAGATCATTTCTAATATTGCTTCCTAATAAAGACACAAAAGTTATCTTCCAACTGTGCTGTGGGAGGCATTAGAATTTAGAAGAGATGCTTACATATACCGTATGAGAAAGGCAGAAGGAAAAATTACCATTTTTGTATCAAAATGAAACAGACAGTATCAGATTTTATACAACTGTAAATACAGAGGATTATCAATAAATCTTGGTGTTGATTATGTATCTAAAATGTCTTGGTTAGAATCCTGTTGGAATATGGTGAAAATAAAAAAAAATACTGTTATGATTTGTGGTGCAAGTGACCCTGGCAGGTCTCCCTTCAGACGTGGGGACTGTGCAAAAGGTAAGTGACAGAGAGATATGCCAAGCAGAAAGAGCTTGAATATGTAGAGTTTATTTAGTGAGTATTGGAAAGCTATATGGATAGGGGTAGTATGTGGTAAAGAGAGAGAGAGAAATAGAGGGATAGAGAGAGAGAGAAAGAAAGAAGAGAAGGAAGGAAGGAGGGAGGCAGGGGGCTGCCTCTTCAGAAGAGTAGACACAGAGAGAGACTGGGAAAGGGAAGAGGGCCAAGACCAGCTTGCATTGGTACAAAGGGGAAGATTGGGAGTGGGTAGAGCTTGTCTCTAAAAGGAACAGGTCAGGCCAACATAATTATAATTATAACAATTACACCTTTCTTTTCTAGGAAGCTCTAGAATTACTGTCAATATTTAAATGTACATTTTATTTTTTAGTGGAAAATTGGTTTTCATATCTTGTGGGTAGCAGGGCCAGGGCATATTGTAAATGTATTCTCATTTTAACAAACTGATGATCTGTTTCCAGTTGTCTTTTCTTAAACCTGGTTATGTTGAACATATTTAATACATGATCTTTGTTAGCCACTATTCAGGTATTTGGTCCATTGTTATTCTCTCTCTCTCCCTCCCTTTCTTTCTCTCATAGACCAATAAGTTCTCACAACTCTCAGAATACAACTTCTTTTTGATCTATGCCTTGCAAAAATTATTTTTTGAATTCCCTTTGCTGGGCTCAGAAAAGAGGCTTTTTAAAATTAGATCAAAATCCAAGTGTTTCATTTTCTATAATGTGGATAAGGATTTTGGTAATATACCCGAAACATTTTTATTCACCACTAAGTCACAGAGATTTTTCTTCTCTCTTTTCCTCAGAGAGTTTTATAGTATTAGGTTTCATGCTTGTATAGCATTTTATAGAAGGTAGGAGAAATGAGTTTTGGCATGTGGATACAGATTGCTCAGACGGTAGGCAAAAGCCCGAACCATACTTATGTCTTTGTTTCTGTCCCTCTTTGATTAGGTGGTGTCCTTTCTGCAAATTTGGCCTCTTTATTTTTTCTAAATTGCTCAGCTAGACTAATTCTTTGGAATTTTCATACAATTTGAAAGTTATTTTGTGCTGGAGAGATGACACATGGTTAAAAGCACTGGCTGTTCTTGCAGAGAACCCAGGTTTAGTCTATAATACCCTCATGGCCATTCACAACTATTTGTAACTCCAGTTCCAAGAAATTCAGCACCCTTTTCTGGTCTCCATTTGGATCAGGCATGTATATCATGCACAGACGTACAATGAGTTTTTCTTTGTCCCTCTAGCTCCCAAATAATGACATAGAAACTTCTTAATTATGAAAGCTTGGCCTTAGCTTAGGCTGTTTTTAACAAGGTCTTGGAACTTAAATTGACCCATTTCTGTTCATCTATATTTTGCCTTGCAGCTTTTTTAACCTTCTTTTCATTCTATATGTCCAACTGTCTTAGTGTCTCATTGCATCTTGATTATTCCTCTTATTCCTTTCTCTCCAAGGAAATCCTAACTATCTCTCCTACAAAGCTATTGGCCATTCTGTTCTTTATTAAAGCAATTAAAAAGGGCCTTGGCAGAGACAATTTACAATTATTCTACAACACAGACATATATACAGGCAAATCAACTATATGAATAAAATAAAAAATAAAGTTAAGAAGAATGTCAAACCTTGCTTGTTGCTTTCAAATGAACCATATCCATAAATGTGTCTGGAAGAGTTCCTTCAATTCCTAACCTGTTGAGAGTTTTTGTTATTTTGGACTAATATTAATTTTTTTCACGGTTTTGGTAAACTTGTTAAAATGCTACCATGGTTCACCCATTAATTATGTCAATGAGTTCTATTATACTTATGTATGTACTTACTAAACTTTTGCTTGCTAGGTATTTTGAAACTGATCATTATAAGTCCTTTTTTATAGCCAAGGCTGACTTTGTATCCCTGACTTGCCAACTTCTGCCTCTCTAGCTCTAGAATTGCAGAAGTGTACTAACATATTTGTCTCATTGACTAGAGCAGGAGTTATACAAACAGTCATGAGCAGTCCCATGAGGAAACTGGGAGCCAAACTTGGGTCCTCTAGAAGAGCAACAACTGTTTTTAATCTCTCAGCTTTCTATATATCCAGCCTCCTGCTTATCCCTGCTACTGCCAACCCCCACGATGTTTTCCTCAAACTTAACCAGTCTATTCTTAAAGAATTAAATTTACAGGTAGTTTTTTGTTGTTATATTTTTTCCATCCTGATCTTCAATCTTTGTTTCTTGATCCATTATTGGCTCTAGTTCAATAACTGGAAGGCTCCATGGCAACACTTCTGCTTCCTTTTCCTCAACTTTTCTGTGAGTTATAGACCAGGACTTTCTGAGAAGGTTGTTTGCAGAGGAGTACAAGCCAAATCTACAGATGAATCTGAGTAAGTTTATCCTTTTCCCTGAAATGTTCTTAAGATTGATTTTTCTCATATTTATATTTTTACAGGTAAAAAGCTCCAAGAAAACATTTTCAGAATCGTTTCCCCCGTGTCTCCTGCTAGGCTTCACTGCTGCTATGCAGTGATCACCGTCCTCACTGGAGCTGTGATTGCACTTTCTGTGGCTCTGTCATTGTCAGGTGAGTGACATTCTCCAGATCCTGCAGCATTCTGTCCACATTCACACTGTCAGTTACACTTACTGAGCACTGTGAGCCAGGAACTATGTGAAGGGCAGAGAGAAACCACACTGGAAATTCCTGTTCTCTGGGAACTTAGGGTCTAGCATGAGATGAAGGGAAGGAACAGCACAGACTGGTGGTGTTCACAAGAGACCAGGCTCAGCATCCCTGGGAAGAGGACATTCTGCAACCTCAAGAGAGATGTATGAGATATGTCTTCCTTGGGGAGCTATTCAAGGTAAAGAATAAAGAGCACAATACCCAAAGGAAGAACTTCAAGAAAATGTGAGAACAAAGAAGAGTAATATGGCCAGGAAGATACAGTACCTCCCCCGATTACACATGGTGTTAGTTAAAATGTTCAACTGTATTTTGAAAGTATTCAATGAAAGGTTTTTGAGATGATCAATTTATAGGATTTTAGAACCACACTGTTCAGAATAGTGTAATAAAAGGCTTATATTGTTGCCGTCTAGGGGGGTGGTCCTCCTTCCTCCTTGTCCTGTTGGTCACCAGGCTGAGAGGGGAAAGATGAAGAAAGGGTGACAGAAAGTTTTGTATGCAGTCCATGAGCACAGATGAAAGGAAACCTCTGAGAGACAGACTTAGGTGAATCAGCTCAACTTTATTTCAGAGTACAAGGAAGATATAGGATTGGAGAGCCTGAGACAAGCCGTAATTTTTATAAAGTGCCAAGGTCCTATCACAAGGTCCTAGCACTAGGGTCCTTTAGCAGAGCTCCTAGCACTATTCTTAGCAGGGATCTATATTAAGGGTCAAGCTAATGATGAATCAAGCATTTGGTTACAGACAGCTTTCAGATGAGGTTAGTCCCCTAGGCTCAGGGACACAATCCAGATAAGACTAGTAGGTAAGGAGCAAGAAACTTAGTTGGGGGAGAGAGAGAGTTCTATATTGCTGAACATTGAGAGAAAGCTGCCAGGCTATGGCAGACTGTGACTTCTACCAGCAAGCACTGTTTTACAACTTATGAACAATCCCTTAGTGCCACAGGTACATACTGTATATACCACCTTCCCAATAGTCCTCATTGTTATCTCAGTTATCAGGCTGACTGTCAAAATAGGTGTCCATACAGAGTACTTGTTGCTCTAACAATTCCTATTGTAGAGAAATATCACAAAGCAGAAAAAGTGATAATATTATAGAAATACACATCCTGGAAGCCCTGTTTCCAATGGGAACTTGAGAAAGAATGGGGCAGAGGCCCAAGCTGGGACACCATTAAATAAAGAACCATCATGCTAAGGAGAAGATTTCTATAGATCAGATAGGAAAACTACAGTCAAATTCACATGCATCTGAGATCAGTAGGTTATGCCAATTCTTATAATAATTCATTTTATTGTCCAAATTTTAGAAAGAAAGCCAGAAAGAAAGCCAGAACAGGTCTCAGTCAAAACTACCTACAATACATGCCCAAGAAACTGGACTGGATTTGGGAGTAAATGTTTTTATTTTTCTGAAGACATAAGCACTTGGACATTCAGTCAGAACTTCTGCATGGAGCTGGAGGCCCAACTAGCTGGATTTGACAACATGGAGGAGCTGGTAAGAAAGGACCAGGAATTTGTTTGTTTGTTTGTTCTGCTGAATATGTATTGCCTTTAATAGACTGGTTAAAGAAGAAGCAGGAGGAAGGATCCCATCCTTTGCACCTGGAAAAAAGGGGAACACATGGGTATGTGTCATTTGTTGATGGTAGCACTGCTGATTGGAGCCCTGAGACATTCAAGAAACATTTTCTCATGTAATGCTCATAGTCAATCTGGAAGTTTGGATATGCTGTTTTACTGAGATATCTGCTGGTGTTGAGCATTTTTCTCCAAGCTAGCAAATGCCTCCTAAGGGCTACAATTGTTAATAACTGCAAAAGGAGGCATAACCAGGAACTATCCCAACCACAGAGAGATGTCATAAAACTTGGCAATTTAATTCAAATGAGGTACTTAAGAATTATGGATGTCAACTGGATCCACTGAGAACTGATGTCTATGGCTCCAAAGTCTATGTCCCTCAGGTACACCATCTTATCTTCTAAAGAGAAAGCTGTGGGTTGGAAACACTCGAGGGTCATTTGAAATAGAGAGACACATATATTTGCTTTCTGTGTTTTATGACAGAATTTCCTGAGAAGATACACAGTGAATTTTGACTACTGGATTGGCCTGCACAGAGAGTCACCAGAGCACCCTTGGAGGTGGATGGACGACACTGAATATAACAGCTCGTATGTTTTCAAACCACTTTCCCTTCTACTGTGATCAATTTTTAAGTGTGTGAGTTGTGTCTATTAGAGAGGAATGGATGTGTCATTTGAATCCAGCTGTACTGCTTTGGAGGTATATTGGCCATCATTTTCAAACCTTTAGTGTGATTTTCCTCAAAATTCTTAGCATGCTGATGGCATCTGGGTTTACTATTGTCTGCTTCTTCATCAATTTAAAGTTTTGTTGTTGTTGTTGTTGTTGATAAATGCCCTGTGTAGAATGTAGACTGAACCTCAGTTGGGCAATGAGGAATCTGAAATTTCAGGAAGTCACTGTAGAAAGGCAAACCTGAGACCCAGCAGTCCACTGTGTGGGTGACTGCACCCATTCACAGAAGCAGAGACTCCAAGGGCATTGGAAACCTTCTCTAAAGTCTTGTAATCAGAGTGCACCTAAAACAGTACTTGGAGGTGAGCAAAGCTGTTTTGAATGGAGCCTTTATAATGGAATAGTAGATAGCAGACGTAGGCTTGTCCATCATTAAAGTCCACTCAGCAGTTTACCAAGAAGTGGCTTTCCCCATATGTGAAACGCTTCAAAACAGAATTGAAAATCACCTCAGTGAGGCCACCCATGTCTGTAGTTCATCTGAACAGAGTGGTAAGCACCAGTCAAATGCTTTGTGCATATATTAAAGGGCTGAACATGGATGAATGTCAAAGTTCTGTGTTGAAGTCAAGCCCCGTGAATGTAAAAGACCATAGTTACAAAACTAGTGCTAATGATTTTCATGGACTCTGCTTTTTTTTGATTCATACTACAAACAAGCACTAGAGACTGACAAGATTTTACTGAGGAGCAAATGCAGTTCTGGACTCCACAGATTTACTGTTTATGGTTTATTTTCAGGGTTCCCATTCGAGGAGCAGAAAATCATGCCTACCTGAAAAACAACAAGATCAGCAGCGCCAGGATCTATGCAGAGAAGAGATGGATCTGTAGCAAGCCCAACAACTGTATCCTCCAATGCCAAATTCCTTCTGCTTCTTTCTAGTTTTTGTTAGGAGATGTTTTGTAACCTGTATCAACAGTTACTGCTCTATCTGCTATCTTCCAACACTGTTATCAAAAGAAACTGAGTATTTGTTGGCATCACAACTGAAAATCATCTTGGAAAATGGCACATACAGGGGATTAGAACAGCATTGATGCTTCTAAAATGGGTGCTGGCACTCATGACTCAAGCCTCAGTATAATTAATGTACTTGTATTTATTTTTTATGAAATTTTTATTTTTATGTAATTTATTTTATTTAATTTTTATAAAATTTTATGATATGAAGTTTTGGTGCAGACCGTCTTCCTTATGAGAATATTGGACCACGAACATGAGTTCTCCAATGTTCACTTACCCTTGCACTTTAATAATGAAAAGAGGCAGGCAGTGGTGGTAGTGGCTGCAAGGCCATTTAATCCCAGGGGCTTTTAGAATTTCTTTTCTCACTTTTTGGTGCCAGATACTGTGTGTTATGGTTCTTAAAAGCATTGGTATGATTACCTGAGGGGCTGGCCACAAGGAGTAGTGGGTCTTACCACCCAAGGCCTAGGAGGGTTCCCTGCTGGTGGGAGACCATTGTAGGTGACAGACAGATATGTCATGCCGATAGAGTTTGAGCATAGACTTTATTTAGTGAGTTATGGAAGGAAAAGGGAAGGGGGGAGAGAGAGAGAGGCAGGGGGAGAGAGAAACAGATAGGAGGAAGAGAGATAGACAGAGAGAGAAAGACAGCAGCCATCTCTTCAGAAGAGGGACAAGGAGAGAGACAGAAAAAGAGAGAGAGAGAAAGAGAGAGACAGAGAGAGGCAGGGGAGAGAGAAACAGATAGGAGGAAGAGAGATAGAGAGAGAAAGACAGCAGCCATCTCTTCAGAAGAGGGACAAGGAGAGAGAGAGAGAGAGAGAGAGAGAGAGAGAGAGAGAGAGAGAGAGAGAAAGCATACATGCTGGAGGAAGTAGAAGATCTACTTGCCCTGGCAGAAGGTGGGGTGGGAGAGCAGGGCTTGTCTCTTAAAGAGACAGGATACCCAGATAACAGGGTACACCATAACATTGAGTAAACTTGTGGATCCTATGATAAGATCCAACAACTCCAGACAGATCTCCAAAAATATAAGAACAAGACTAATGCTTCTGGTAAATGAATGGTTGACAATCCAATATGAAATTTGGACACTGCCTTTCCTAACCTCCCTTATCTTCTTTTTTTTTAATCCTAATTTCACCTTGACTTATAAACTTCTTGTTGAGATTCTTCAATAGCAAATTCAAAAGATTTCTAACCAGATTTTTAATCAGCTGTTATTACAGGATTATAAGCCCCTGGCTATGAATCCTGACTATACCTAATAGTCAAGGTCAAGTTTTTCCCAAGAACTTTGATGCCCCCCAATCAGCAGGAAGTATTCAATTAATATTTTCCCTTTCCTGACACCTAATTGTTTACCAATGGTAAACAAAATGGGGGGAATCATGGAGCTGGCTTGGTCCAGCTGACTTGAGAGGGATGTGTGATAGATTTTTCAGGTCTGAGTACTTGGCCACTGGAACACAATGTGCCTTCTAATTCCAAAGAGACCAATGTGCTCCCTCAGGCAGTGAAGTGTTCAGGCAGCTTTGTGTTTCTCTGTTTGTTCCCTTACTAGTCAAGAAAGTATGTAGGCTTTACAGGACAATTGGTATTTGACATTAATCTTGAGTAACCTGTATAATTTGCAAACTTCACTGTATCCTGTCAACTACAACTATATTGATCTTGGAAACTGCCATTGTATTGATTATCTTAATAAGGGTTTCTACTGCTGTGAAGATATACCATGACTCTGACAACTCCTATAAAGGAAACCATTTAATTGAGGTGGTGGCTTACTGTTTCAGAGGTTTAGTTCATTATCATCATGGTGGGGTACGTAGGTATACAGGCAGACATTGTGCTAGAGCTAAGAGTCCTACATCTTGAACAACAGGACACCAAATGTAAATTGAGACACTGAGCATATCTTGAGCCTTTTCCGTTTTTCTCATTAGGTAAAAGTCAAGTCACAGGCCTCACTTCCTTAGGTTGATGCCACATCAAAAAAATAATTTGCCTTTCTACCTAATTCCAAATTATAATAACCTGAAATATCTGTCATTTTTGCCTCTTAAGAAAGGTTCTTATAAGCTGCAAGAGGTCAATTTAGATCCACCAACATCATCTCAGGTCAAAATAAACTCAGATAAGTATTGCTTGTCTACAGTTTGCTTTCTTACCTACCTATTTATTGGGCATTGGTACCTAAACTTCCCTTGTTAAGTGAAGGTCAGAGGACCTTGTACTTAGTTATTTGTTAATGTTTCCTACCTATTTCCTGATAGAGATCCTATAAGAGAAGATTCTAAAATTTGAGATGACATAGTTCCCATTCCCAGAGACACTCTTTGTTTTCATAATGCTTCTAACATATTTACTTATGTTATTATCTCTTTTCTCGTTACGTATTAGTTGACATATTCAGCTCTTTGTTCTAGATGCTCTGCTCTCAGGAATGCAAAATCTTATGAAGGGGGGGGGGGCTGTAGGAGAACATACAGTCTTGACTGAAGGGTCAGCCTACCTGGAACATTGCACTTCTAAATAAGAAGCATGGCACACCATGCTCCTGGGTATTTTCAGAAGTCGGAACACTAGTAGCCTGTAACTGACTTGTTGAAGAGTCTGCACTGTCGTCTCCTTTATGTGTTTCTCCCATATAAGGACCTAAGTGATATGATCACTCACGATGCAATCCAAAGTAATGATTTAATAAATCACAGCCCATAGGCTTCCAGTCTATAAGTTGTTGTTCAGCTACAATAAAGCAAAGGCTGTTTCCTGAAACTGTCTCCAGAGGCGTTCATTTCTGGTCTCTTTACTGACCCATTGGATTTTGCCAGGGACCATTGTCCTAAAGATGATAGCAGGGACCATTGTCCTAAGGATGTTTGCAGAGAGCCCACATCCCAACTATCTTGAGAACTGTTTGTTGATGGAATCACAAAAGGAATGTTTCCGCTTGAACAGAGAACACTGGGTGTGCTAACTGGTGACCTTTGCTACCTCGGCAAAGTTCCTTCTTACCCCTACCTCCTACCCCAAGCCAAGTTCCTCATTCAAGGGCTATATAAGCCACAACCATTACCCTAATAAACGGAGACCTTGACAACTAAATCTTGCTTGGTCTCCTTCTTTTCTCTCGCTCATGATTCATTCAGGTAGAACCTCTTCAGACACTGAATAACTGGACCTGCTGGACGGGTCAAGTGGCACCCGAACAGGGACCCTGAAGCATGGTCAACTACAGGACGGTGGAGGATTTTCCCAGGACATGGAGGATCCTGTCGACTGCATTGCTCGTGCACCTCTTCAGGAGAAGGTAAGGTGCCTTTTCATTGCCATCCCATTGTCATCAGCCATACATTGTCAAAGGAACTAAAAGGAGTTCAAGAATTCGCTCAGAGAGAAAGGGGTAAGAGTTAAAAAGAAAGATTTAGAAGACTTCTTTTGTTTTATTGATGAAAAATGCCCCTGGTTGGTATTGACAGGGCCAGGAATTCACCCCCAGACATGGGGCAAGCATTCAGTAAACAGGATATGTATTCTTGCGGACTCAAAAAAGAGTCTCTCAAGACGTGAGAAGTAAGGGTATGGATCCACACAGCTATGCCTGCCAAGCAGGCTGGCTGCCAGGCCTAGAGAGCCTATGTCTTAACTCCATGCCATACGGAGCAGAAGCTGCCAGGCAGGTTTGCATAATGGGAACTAGCCTCAGAAAACTACAGCTTCAGGACAGTAAAAGGAAGATAAATATGCTTCTTTTCCATTTTATAATTTTGCTTCTTGGTCAAAAATCTTTAGTTTGTAGGCATATAAATTTATATCCAAGGTAGGTTAATTTCAATACTGTGGTTCTGTAGAAAAGTTTTAAAATCAAAGATTGTAATACATTCAGAGGATTTTAAAATTGTTTAGGCTATCCTGAGTTTTTATTTCTTTCTTATAAAGTTAAGGATTGTTCTTTCGAGTTCTGTGAGAAATTTTGCTATAATTTTAATGAACATTTACATTAAATCTGTAGGTGAGTTCTGTGAGGAATGTTGCTATAATTTTAATGGACATTTACACTGAATCTGTAGATTTCTTTTCGTGAGATTGTCATTTTTGCTGTGTTTCTTCTATTTTCCCAAGAAAATAGGAGATCTTTTTATTTTCTAATGTCCTAAATTTCTTAAAAGAGTTAAAGTTCTTATCATACAAGTTTTTCCATTTGTACAGTCTGCTCTTGGGTGGGAGTCAAGTTGTCTCAGCTTGTGGTCCTTTCCTGCTGCCAGGTGTTGCTTCAGGGTGGACTGCTGAGACTCAGGCCTCTTATTAAATTTGTCAAGGGACAGAGTTATACTCAAACAAGTGATATTGGTTAAAAATAAAAATCATTTCCCCCTTCACAAGCAGAGATGACAGGACCCAACCTTCAATCCTGTTTGCTTAGAGTAACTCCAAGATATTTTATGATATTCATGGCTATTTTAAAGGATGATGTCTCTTGTATCCTTGGTGTAAAAGAGATACATTTGAGTTGTTTTCAGATTCTGGCTATGATAAAGTAATTTTGCTGTAAGTATAGCTGAGCACATGTCCTTAGGGTATGGTTGAACAACTTTTGTATTTAGGCCCAAAAGGGGTATTGCTGAGTTTTAAGGTAGATATTTGCCTAATTTTAAAAAATAACCATACTATGATCCAAAAGTGGCTGTGCCAGTTTGCACTTACAGCAATGAATTTTTTCTTTACCCATATTTTCTTAAGCATAAGTTGTTAGCAGTAATTTTTAATCTTGGTCATTTTTACAAGGATAAGATGAAATCTCAGAGCTTTGATTTGCATTTCTCTAATGGCTAAAGGATGGTATGTTTGAGCATTTTTTAAGTGTCTCTCACTTTTTTTTTAAAGTTTGTCTGTTGAGATTTTTCAGTTTAAGTCTGTAACAAATATTTTTATTGGATTAATTTTTTGATAACTAATTTCCTGAGTTCTTCATATATTTTTGGAGTGGGTTTATGATAAGTAAAAATCGTTTCCCATTCTATAGGCTGATATTATGTTTGTTATACAAAAGTTTCTCAATTCAGAAGATCTAATTTATTGTTTCTCCCAATGTTTGTGCCACTGAGGCTGTGTTTGAGATGTGGCAAAGTGTACTTCTAATTTTTTTTTTCTCTGTAAGGTTCAATGTAATTTTTATATGCTGAGGCCTTTGACTTATTTAAACTTGAGTTTTTTACATGGAGATGGATGCGGATCTATTTTTATTCTTCTACATGTTGATGTCTAATGAGGCCCAAATCATTAGTTAAAATGCTTCCTTTTTCCATTCTCCTATTTGCTAGGCAGACTTGCAACTTAAGAGGAGGATAGCTTATAAACTTTTAATTACATATTCAATGGTTAAAGCCCTAGTTATAATATTATTATGGGAGACCTTGAGCCGCTAGCTAAAATTCTTACAAAAAACAATGAGCCAGTTTCCAATAGAAAGCTTATAAAAGCTGCCGGACAGGTACTCAAGCAGGTAAAGTATAAATCACAGGCAAAGTATACAATAATCAACAAGTACAGTATATTAATTATAATTCAGCTATGACAAATGTGTGTATTAAGTGTAAAACTTATTCTACAACAGTTTTATGAAAAAGTAAAATGTTGTTTATGGCTAAACCTTTCCAGTTTTGACAGTTAAGATATTAAACTCTTAATTTTAGAACACTAGCCTGTCTGGTACAAAAGGGCAGAATAAAATCTGGAAGATGGTTTGACAGAATATTGACTATGATCAATGTTTCTTATACTAAACAATAGATTCATTGATAGTTTTAAGAATGATTCCTGGACAATTATGTTTGCTCCATTCAAAGGCCAGAATAATAATCTTTTCCCAGATGATTATTGCTACAATTAACACAACTGTATTTTGCTAATGTTATAGCTAAAAATCCCTTAAAGATTTTATACTAAATTTTACAAATGGTTCTTCCAATGGAAGAACTGCATATATGGTTAATAATAAAAAGAAATTGTGGAGCGTACCAAGGCTCCATGAAAGCAACTTATAAAAGTTGCAAACAGATCCTGATGCAAACAGATCTAACATGATGACACCAAGCTGACCTTTATTAAGGCAAGGTAAAAAAGCCCATGCAATGCATTATGAAAAGACCCGACCTATATATATTTGGGGTCGAGGATATGTTTGTGCTTTTTTTCACAGAAAGAAAAAAAAAAGCTGGATCTGATGATGTTGTACCTGCAAACACCCCATAAAGGAGTTCCAGAAACAACTGGAGGGGAATCCTTGATCCGGTCTTCCCTGCCCCCATGGAGAGGAGTGCCTGATAGCAGGACCTGCTACACCACTCTATAGGGTGTCATTCTGACTCCAGAGAGTCCAAACAAAGAGAAGCAGCTGAGATAACTGCCAAGATGTGCTTCAGGTAGCTGAATCTAATGCACCTCACCCAGGAATCCCACCTGCCCTGAAGCACAAATGCTGAGATCACCTGACCATGGTGACTACAATTTTCTGCAGTTTGAATTCTGTTTGTTTTGGGGGCTAAGATGCAGACTAAACATCTGACTATTTTAATCTTTGGGACACAGAACTCATTTTGATTAAAATATTAACCCCAGGCTAGGCAGTTTGGATGCTCACCTTACTAGACATGAATGGAGGTGGGTGGTCCTTGGACCTCCCACAGGTCAGGTGACCTTGACTGCTCTTCGAGCTGATGAGGGAGGGGGACTTGATCAGGGGAGGGGGAGGGAAATGGGAGGCGGTGGTGGGGAGGAGGCAGAAATCTTTAATAAATAAATAAATTTAAAAAATAAAATAAATAAAATAAAATATTAACCCCTCTTCACTTAAGAAGGGGGAAGATCGGGGTTTTGACTGTTGCTCAGAGACTGGAATTGGTACTTAATAACAACAATGTCTGTCATTGTACTCTTACTGGAATTGACCTAATGATATTTGTAATGGCTTATGACTGTTGCTCAGAGACTGGAATTGGTACTTAATAACAACAATGTCTGTCATTGTTCTCTTACTGGAATTGACCTAATGATATTTGTAATGGCTTATAGATGTTGGGAAAAGTTTGACACACCCTGTAAATTATTTGGGTTTAATGCATATGTTAAGAATTTTAGATTTTGATCCCTTTACACTGCCCTAATTTTTGGCAGGCAGCACTCGTAATCTTATGTTGGAGTAGGTGCTTAGGAAGGAGTATATACCATAAGCCAGACTAAAAAGTGGATACTGGGTTCGGAAGGTGCCCTTCCTTCTTGTCCGGAGAGCAAGTCATTGGTGTCCAAATTATATCTTTACTCAAACTATACAAGATATCTTTTATTTGAGGAGCTCCAAGGACGGGCAACTTGTGGCAGGACCTCCCCCAACCTAAGACAGGGCCCTGGGAACCCTAGGACGGGTAAGGGGGAAAAGACCTGGTCCCCACTCGACCTAAGACAGGGGCCCTCATCGCAGGCCATCGTTAAGGGCCAAAATCAAAAATATAAATCAAAAGATAACTAATGCTACCCATAAGACACCCCTCTATTCCCAGGAGAGAAGAAAATGCTCCACCACTCAAGAGGAGGGTCCTCCTTGTCCCAGTCTCTTCTCCTCTAGGTCTGACAATGTGGTTAGACTCTGACCTGGTGCCCTCTACTTCATAAGCTGCCTGCCATAATAAAAGGAAGTGGGATATGTCAGGGACCATTGTCCTAAAGATGATAGCAGGGACCATTGTCCTAAGGATGTTTGCAGAGAGCCCACATCCCAACTATCTTGAGAACTGTTTGTTGATGGAATCACAAAAGGAATGTTTCCGCTTGAACAGAGAACACTAGGTGTGCTAACTGGTGACCTTTGCTACCTCGGCAAAGTTCCTTCTTACCCTTACCCCCTACCCCAAGCCAAGTTCATCATTCAAGGGCTATATAAGCCACAACCATTACCCTAATAAACGGAGACCTAGACAACTGAATCTTGCTTTGTCTCCTTCTTTTCTCTCGCTCATGATTCATTCAGGTAGAACCTCTTCAGACCCTGAATAACTGGACCTGCTAGACAGGTCAAGATTTTTTTTTTGTGGAAGTGGTATGGATATTTGGATAATGACAGCAAGACAACATCTGTAATCTCAGTGTGGCCCTGTAAGGAGAAGGGAGACAGAGGTAACTGAGGCAAGAGTTTTAGCTTCATATTTCCGCAAATAAACATTAATCCTCTTTATGAAACTTGACCACCTTGAGTCCAGGGGAAAATCAATGATATTGAATGTTTCAGGACAACATCTCTTGTCCACTACAGAAATTTCAAAATTCTTCCCTGCTCTTAATTTTTCTGAACTGTGGCCCATGTGCATCTGGAACTATAGAAAAATAAAAGTTACAATTGTGGAAAACATGAAAAAACATGAAAAAAACTAAAAGCCCTCCAGAATTTGCTTATTACATGCCTGCTAAACTTTCCCTTGTTGTGGGTGTGATTGAAGATGAACAAGCTCACATGTGACTGTGAGCAATGAGAGTATCAGCAATACCCCCAGATTGACTGGTTAATCAGATAGTATGCAAACTCAGAGCTGTTTGAATTTATGTGTTCTGTGCTTCTCTGGATCATAATCCTGTCTGCGCACTTATCCCTTAACCCAGTTTGCTGAAACTTTATCCTCAGTTTCTTTGTCTGAAGTTAATTAATAGAAACAAAACATAACATAATCATTTGTCAATATGATTCCTTTGATGGAGGAAGGTCATTGGCTAATAAAGGAACTGCCTTGGCCCATTTTATTGATTAGAAGATAGGTGGGAGGAGTAAACAGAACAGAACACTGGGAGGAAGAGGAAGTGAGCTCAGACTCGACATCCCCTCGGGGGCAGACGCCTGAGAGAGACGCCATGCCCCGCTCCCGGGATGAAGCTCTGACCCAGGACGAACATAGGCTAGAATCTCCCCAGTAAGCGCACCTTGGGGTGCTACACACAGATGATTAGAAATGGGCTAAATTAATATGTGAGAATTAGCCTAGGAGAGAATGGGCCAAGCAGTGTTTAAATGAATACAGTTTGTGTGTTGTTATTTCGGGCATAAGCTAGCCAGGCAGCCGGGGTGCTGGGGACACAACCCCGCCGCCCTTATTACTACATTCCTTGACAAATGACATCACTACCTTGTTTCAGCATGGGGCTAAAAAGCAACTTCTGTAGAGAGTTGATTGTAGTATAGCAGGAACAGGGCAGAATAGAACATAACACTTTCCCGTAGTTATGCTGACATCTTTAGACTTTAATCATCTATGCCGAGGGAATGGAGACTTGGATTTTAGGCAGTTCATAATTATAGAGTCTAATAGTAATAATCAATTAATAACTGAATATAGTGAGATGAATCAATTAAAATATATATATATATATATATATATATATATATATATAAGCCAATTTTATGAAGTAGAGAGAGTTATGCTGTTAGGAATCTAGGAAGGACTTTAAACATTAGTAATAGCATTTTAGAAGGATAGTAGAAGAAAATAAGTCATGAATAAACACATTATAGATTAAATCTCTCACTCCAATCTTTTATTGGAGATTCATGCAGGACTTCTTAAAGGAAATAGAAGAGTTCTTTTTTCTATTGGAATAAATTATGTCCCAGTGGAGAAGATCTGAAATTGGACAAATGGCTCTGTTTTAACTCCTGATTTATAAGATTTAAATAATCTAATTTAAATATTCAATTCACATCATTTTATTGAAAATTAAATTTAGTAATTTTGATTTAGTTAAAATTTTCTAGAGTGGGTAAGAGTAGGCAGAAAAGACAATTCCAAAGTAAGTTAAAATTTTCATATACATGTAGACACCAACAATTTATAATAATGTGTGTGTATGTGTGTATCTCTCAGTGTGTATATGTGTATCTGTGTGTGTATGTGTGTGTGTATGTGTGTGTGTGTGTATGTGTACTGAGAACTTAGATTTTTTTTTGTTTTTTTTTGTTTTTGTTTTTTTTTTTTAGCTACCACAGTGACTTTTATTTATGAAGCTCCCAGGCACAGCCTAGACACACAATACAAAGGAAAGCAGGAGGTGGCCACACAGCTACCAAGGGAAGTCACAGGGCAGCTCCTACCCAGCTCAGTCCCCACTACACAGGTTCTCTCCTGCCTCAGAAAACCCTCAAAGAGCAGCCCGATGTGTAGCTCAGGCATTAGGGGGACTTGCCCTTCCCTTCCTAGGATGAAGAACAGGTCTGGGCCAGCCAAGGTGCTTCCTCTGGGTATAAAAGCCAGGGCACCCCAGGCAATTTCTACTCCTGGGCTATTTGGGGTTGGCCCCTGGCTCCTTTCGACCACTTGGCTGAGACCAGAGTTTTATGCTCTGATGACAGCTCCAGCTCTGACAGTTCCTTAGACATGGTGGAGACAGCAGGGCACAGTAACTTCCCAGGCTTTGGTGGGACAGAAAGGCAGGGTAGCAGGACAGCCAAAAGGGACTATGGCTAAGTGGGCGGAAGTTTATTAAGAGCGGCTTTCAGCCCTGTCCCCTGGGTGTCCCCCACAGTGGACCTGGGTTAGTCCAGCAGGGAAGATGAACATCTGAAGTCCAGACCGGTGAAGTACATACCTACACACACCACACTGACACACGTACTCAAGGAATCAACATGACACAGGAGATAAAGACCCTCCCCTGCCTCTGGTCAAAGTCCTATCCAATGGAGACGTTGGCTGAGCTCAATCCATCCAAGTCCCCTTATTCACTGGTTCAGGGTAAGGGCCGAGAAGAAGCTGGTTTTAAGCTTAGATCTTGTACAGTGTCTGCAGCAGATTGTGGCGAGCAAAAGAGCAGATTTCCAGTGCGCCATTGGGCTTTGTCACAAATGCCAACAGCAGCGGTACAAGGGTTTGGGGGAAGTAATCCTGCTGCACCATGTGGTTCAGCACCATCAGGGGGCCATGCAGACTCGGGATGGCCTTGATCTTGTCTTCACTCTTGAGCAGACCCATGTGGATGAGTAGTCTGGTGAGGAAGGTGTTGGAATTGAAAGATGAGGAGCTGAAGGCCTTCTTCATGAGGGCATCGACGGCATCCAGCACTGCTGTCTTCACTGAGGCTTCTTCCCTGTACACAGATGCTACCTTCAAGAAGGCTGAGACAACCTTCTCAGGGTCGGAGGTATCAGTCTGCTGGACTATCAGCACAGAGACCTTGGGACCAAGGCGCAGGAGCTTCTCTGGGGAGGGGAATGACAGGAAGGTGGAGAGGTCTGTGGGAGGCGGGGAGGACAGCACGGCAGCTGGCTCTTCACTGTTAGGGTCCGTAATCTTCCGTGAGGGTGTAGCTGACTCCTCTCCTTGCCCTCGCTGCTGCGGCTCTTCGTCTTCATCCTCCTCCTCCTCCTCATCATCATCCTCTTCTCCCTCCTCATCTTCCTCCTCCTCATCCTCTCCCTCATCATCACTGAGGGATGCCAGCACCTTGGCCATATTGAAGCTGTCCAGCACTTCCTGAAGTTGCTCACAGCCCTCCTCTCCCAGCGCATTGCCATTGAGGTCCAGATTTTCTAGCTCAGCCTTATCAGCCACAGCCTCAGCAACAACCAGGGCAGCATCTCTCTTGATTTCACAAAACGACAGGTTCAGTTCCTTCAGCTTGGGCAGGCCCCCACGGACAGCATCTGCAATGGCAACGGCCCCCTTCGAGCGCACGAGACAGTCCCCGAAATTGATCACCTCCACTTGCCGCAAGGTCTTCAGGGTCTCAGCCATGGCCACTGCACCCTTTTCAGTGAAGGTGTTGTCATTCAGGTTGATGACTCGCAGCAGGGGGTTGATGGAGAAGGCCTGGGCCAGGGCTGTGACCCCAGGGTGGTTAATTCCATTCTGTGGCATGTGAACTTCTTCCAGAGTCCCGATGATCCCAAAAGCTTCTGCCAAAGCAGTGGCTCCATCGTTCTCCCCAGGCGGTTTCTGCCAGCCACCTCCAATGCCCATGCCACAGTTGTTAAGCTTGAGTTCGTGCAGGGTGAAGCAGGCTGGGCTCTTGAGGAGGGCCTCGAAGCCTCGCACTCCATCAGGCCCAAATGCGTTGTCACTGAGGTCGAGTTCCACCAGCTGCTCTCCTGCAGTGATGAGCCCCTCCCCTAGTGAGATCAGAGCTGGTGGGATCTCGGACCGAAGCTTTCCGGTGAACATGTCATTCCAGTGGCAGCGCTTCAGCTCCGACTTCTTCTCTAAGGCCTTGGCAATGACTTTGGCCGCTTCCACACCCACTGTGTTACCTTCCAGTCGTAGAGCCTCCAGGCCGTCGAAGTCTTCAATCTCCTTAATCACATCTTTAGCATCTTCAGCAGTATTCAGTTTGAGACTCTTGCCCTTGAAACTCAGCTGTCCCCCGGCCACCTGGGTTTTAGCCAGGGTCTCTGCCAGTTTGGCAATATCTTCAGAGGCCATGCTGGCGACAAAGGTGGGCTGCCCTAGAGATCAGCAAACGCAAACAGGCGGCGTTGCCCCACACGCGTCGGTGCGGAGCTTTGGAGACTGCTCGAGAGCCCACGTGAGGGACGGGCCGGTCACCACGCCCCCGTACGACGGTCCCAGAGCACAGTCCCGCCCGACTGTCCTCGCTGCAGCGGCTGCTCGTCTCGCTTGTGCACACCACCTGCTCCAGGATCTTCCGAGAACTTAGTTTTAAAGGACAATAAATAGATTAACTTCTCAGGGTTAGAGACAAAATATTTTTAAATGTCAGTCTGGAATCATAGATTTTTCTTTATTTTTTCACATATACACACTTACATAGAATTTCTTTTTAAATTATTTGTTTATTTTATGCCTGAGTGTATGTATGTGTACCATGTGCATGAAGGAGGTCACAGAGTTCAGAGGAGGGAGGGCATAACATTCCTTGGAGCTGTAATTACAGATGGTTGTGAGCTGCCCTGTGGGTGCTAGAACTTGAATCTTTGTCCTCTATAAGAGCAGTAAGCATGCTTAACCCCAAAGCCGTCCCTCCAGTCCCTACACAGAATTTCTTAAGCTGTAATTTTAAAGTTGTTACAACAGAAAGAGTCAGTCAAACCAGCTTTTGTTTCAGCTGAACTGAGAAATGGCTCTGGGTAAAAGTTCTAGCTGTGTAAATCTCACAGTCTGAGTTCAATCCACAGAATCCTTATTAAAAAAAGTCAGATTCAGAAGTCCACATCTGTATCACAGCACTCCTGCAGAGAGATAGGGCATGGAGATTGGAGAATAACCCAAAAGCACGTGGGCCAGTGGGCAAACAGTACACAGCACACTGGCAGAAACAAGGTAGAAAAGGAGGATCCCCCAACATTGTCCTTTTATTTCTACACAAGCTCTTATTTTTCCTCTCTCCCTCCCTTCCCCCACTCTCTTTCATACAAACACAGGTAAATGTTTATTTTAACTTCCTGAACCCTGGTTTCAGGTAAGGAAACCTGGAAAAACAAAGGCAATGAAAAATTTTGCAAACAGGGTTATTTTGGGAATTAAATGAGATAATTTTAGATCCCTCACCAGAAGTCTGACTGGGGAAACCCTGAGAATCCATCAAAGACTTTTTGTGAAGAAGTCATTAGCTTGAACAGATTGGCCTTAAGAAAGGATCTTGAAGATTGAAGAAAGCTAGAGGATGAAGAATAGAATGTAGGGACATTTACAGAAGCCCAACTGGGGAAAGTTCACAGTCTGATTAGCAAACTGGGAACTAGGGAGGCATCGCATTGCTGCTAAGATCCAAGGAGCTCAATAAAGAACAGATCAGAAGCAAAGTGACAGCTGTGAGGGAGCCTGCCTATTGCCTGATGTGTGACATCCTCTGCTAGAGACTTGTTGAGGGAGCTGCGGGCCTCTTCCCACAGCCCAGCTCCTGGCTAGCTTATGTCCCGAAATAACAACACACAAACTGTATTCATTTAAACACTGCTTGGCCCATTAGCTCTAGCCCTTACTGGCTAATTCTCATATCCTGATCAACCCATCTCTAATAATCTGTGTAGCACCAATCTTACCGGGAAAGATTCAGCATGTCTGACCTGGCGTCTCCCTGGGAGAGGGAAGCTATTGAGTCTGAGCTCACTTCCTCTTCCTCCCAGCATTCTGTTCTGTTTACTCCGCCTACCTAATTTTCCATCCTATCAGGGCCAAGGCAGTTTCTTTATTTAACCAATGACCTTCCTCCATCAGAGACTGACTGCTCTTGAACACACCCCTTCCTTGTAATCACTCCAGAAGATGTCTGTGTTAGTGCTGACTTCTGGTCTCATTCCCACCAGCAGTAATCATAGGAACCCTGGGTGTAGGAGTATTGTTGTGATAAAGCAGAAACACACCAACTTTGGGATGACAATGGAAGAAATCTGTTTCTGTTCCACATGAGTCCAGGGTCTTTTTCTCTCTGCATTCAACTCTATAGACTAGATAGATATTCTGGTGGAAGCTCTACCCCATTCCCTAGCATCCATATACCCTAACAGTCTGGAGTGTTCTGGTGGAAACTCCACCCCAAACCTCCTCACCCAACTAGCTCCAAACCCTGCATCATTTTAGAAAGCCTGCAGAATGATGACTTATCCCCCAGATATGCTCAAGACCACTTCCATGGATATTTAAACTGTGTCCCTCCCCCCACAAAAGCATATATAACATTGTTTGGTCTCTCTTCCTTGTGTTCTTTCTGGGGAAAGGGTGAGCAAAATCATTGCAGGGTGTTTTAGTCTGTAGATCTGGGCTTTTTTTTTTTAGTTTGGTTTGATTTGGTCTGATTGGATTTCTGTGTTAGCAGAGAGGCTTGTGGGGTGCAGAAACTTTCACCCACTGTGTATACTCTGTAGGTTGAGTAGATTTACTGAACACCTACTGTGGGTAACTGCTGTCATGCTTTCATGCATACCTTGATAGCTTCTGTAAACATCAGCTGGTAATACACTGTATGTTTAAGGAAACGGAAACTGAGGAAAATGCAGATGTTTTTCACAGGATCATATGACATGTTAATAGTAGCACGAGGAGTTTTCACAAACTTTCTTCTTTTTTTACATCATTATGAATGTTCTTGCTGGACAATTTCTTCTCCAGTGAGGATGAAACTGAAAATTACTTCTATCAACTATATCTTTAATGTTTCTATATATTTATAATATTTGTTACTGTGTGCTTACTATGCTTAAATACTATGTAATCTGAAGCATCCTTAAAAGTCCCAAAAGAAATAATGCCTGATGTGATAATTGGAAGGAACTCCTAAGTGCTAGGAGCAGCAGATATTTCCTCTTTAGATCAGGAATCACTGTCAAAGATGAAGAAAACAGCTGTGATGTCATCTCAGGGGCAGAAGTATTTTCTGACTTCTGCAGACAACCGTGGGGTCTGCCAAAAGAAGCTGATATGTCCCTGAAATTCTATGTCCTGAGTCTTGATTGTGAATGTCTGCTCTATTACTTTACCTTCCACAGGAGATCTCTGCATTGAACTGTCAAAGTTGGTAACCCTCCCCAGTGCACAGTTAGTGGCACAAAGCATGGACTATAAAATCATTTTGGCTCTTCCCTTACAATTTCTTTATTGTATAACTATAAGTGTATATATAACTAATTATAAATTTACGTGTACACAGACACAGATGTGTCATTCTAACAGAGGTGTTCTCTAGGAGGGAGCCTAGGACAGCAGGGGGCACTGGAGGCCTTGTATGGCCTTTGTTGATGTCTGTGCATGAGGTTAACTGCAAAGTTCTGACTCTACCTTCCACTCTGAGCTATCTCACATCTGAGCTGTAGAACCTTGATTAAAGTCTTTGCTGCTGACTCTGACTTAACAATGACATCACAGAGTTGAGACCATAATAAACTTCTCTAAATTCTACCATGCACAGTCCAGTGTGAAACTGCCCACCTCCAGGCTGGCCTGCTCTAATCTTGCTCTGGAGAGTATATTCACTTTTAGTTACTTTGCCCTCTTAAACAATATTCTCCTAAACTATATTTTGGTCAATTTCTATGAGAAGGCAATAGAGAAGAAACTCTCATTTGTAACAATGACAGCATCCGAAAGCAAATCAGAAAGAAATATTTCAATAATTGATAATGTGCACACTTCCTCTTGGAAAAGTGTTGGTACCAGCATTCTGGTGTTGTTCAAGATGAGCTGAGTCATTCTTTTTTTAATATTTATTTATTTATTTATTTATTTATTATGTATACAGTGCTCTGCTTGCATGTGTTCCTGTAGGCCATAAGAGAGCATCAGATCTCATTACAGATGGTTGTGAGCCACCATGTGGTTGCTGGGAATTGAATTCAGGACCTCTGGAACAGCAGTCAGTGCTCTTAACTTCCAAGCCATCTCTCCATCTCCATAGCTGAGTCCTTCTTTATGGATCATGATTCATCACACCTAAGGGTTATATCTGATATCAAATAATCCTAAAGGCATGTTAATAGGACTGTTTTCCCATGATCCCTACCCCAAGAAATTAATTTCCTGTCTCTGTCACTTTTGTTCCAGCATTAACTTTCTATTGGAGAGGATTCTACTGAGATCCCCTTAGACTAGGAAGGAGAAATTCCACCAGGAAGCCATGTTTTCAAGCCTATTTCTCAATAGAAAATAATAAATCATGATTATTATATAAGTGAGATTTCTTTAACTTCTACTATATAAAACTTAAGTGGGATTATAATAGTTGTGCACCCTTGTGTGGTTCATCTGAGTCAGTATTTATTGATATACTTAACTATGACTTGAATTGATGGCAAAGGTGTACATTCAGTCTGTTGTTCAAACCCTGCCTTCTGCCAATTACCAAACAACACAAGAGATGGAAATGTAGAGGAGGTTATGCAGCAAAAGAAAACTGTCTACCTTGGAGGGAATGAAAGTTAAAATTGTCGCCATGAAAAACAGTAAGAGATTACTCTCTTAAAAATTAAAAACACATCCATTGCACCATCAAGAAATCTCCCACACACCATATAGCCCGATAAAAAAAAATCTAAGATATACCAAAATTTAATTTTAAAAGTTGGGGGATGTAGTAGGATTATAGTTTTCCATCTCTTTAAGTGTCATCTTTGACGATGAGATGTGTTTCTTGGAGCAATAATTGTCAGGCCCTATCTTTTAATTCAATCTGCCAATCAGTTTTCCTTATGAAGTAATGGTTACCATTAATATTTGAGTTATTATTGAAAGCTGTGTACTATTTCCTGTCACTGCAGATTACTTGATTTTTCCCCATTCCTTTTATAACTATATTCAAACTTTGTTTCTTCCCTGTGGCCTCACAAGTCTGTTTATCTTTATCATCAGGTTAATGGATGTCTTTATACTTCCTCCATGGAGCTCTCTTGGAATTCTCTTGTTAGCCATGAATCTTTCTTTTCAAGACAGGTTTCTCTGTGTCACAGTCGTAGCTGTCCTAAAACTCACTCTGTTGACCAGGCTGGCCTCGGACTCACAGAGGTCTGCCTACC